AGTTCTTCGTATTTCACAACAATCAATGGTGAAAATTACAGAAAAGAATGCACCAAAAAACGGCTTCTGCCCATCTACCGAAAGCATACGGATCATCCATTGTTTTGGCCGGGTCTGGCACCTGCTCACTATGCTTCTGCTACGTTGGAGATGCACAAGAAGAAAAAAGTCGATTTTGTCGAAAAATTCCAAAATCCCCCAATTTTGCGAATTTCGCGGATTTTACGATTTTCGCGGATTTGTCGTGGATTTGAATTTTCAGTCGCGAAAATCGCGGAAACATTAAATGATGTCGCGGAAATCGCGAAGGGACTGATGTGCTGTCACAAAAATTGTGGAATTCATTGTAATCTTTCCGTCCCGGATTATTTTTCTGTCATCAATTTTGTTGTTCATTTGGCTCTCAATTTTTTACCGGTTCAAACCAACTACCCTACAAATAATCGAGAAATGATCTCAATCCCAAAAGTCACATCGGATTTATACGGAAATTCCCTGAGGTCTGTCCAATGTGAGAAATTTTCCTTTTTTCCAATATGAACATAGCATAGCATCATAAACGAATCGTATATATGCGAGCAATTGCCATGTATACCGGATATTCTAGGTTCTCCAAATTGTCCTGGAGTTCAGTTGATTTGTTCTACTATATCAACCAAGATGTCTGTAGTATCGAAATATGTCCAAACAGATTCAAAGTGTCTATGTGGATTGTACCCGATCTATTGCTACGTATACAAGATGTTATAAGTTCTGAAATCATTCTGGAGATTAGATTACTTTTCTACTAGATCACCCAATACTAATTCAATATCTGTAGTATCGAAATATGCCTAAACAAATTTGCAGTGTCTATGTAAATCATGCCAACCTATTTCCGTGTATGCCAAATGTTCTAGGATTTCCAAATCGATAATTCGATACTACAGATATTATCCTAGTCTTTGTTGATCTAGTTAACAAATCATCTGAACTGCAGAACGATTTGGAGAACCTAGATCATCTGGTATACGTGGAAATAATTAAACAATATCCATATAGACACTGTGAATCTATTTGGACATATTTCGATACTACAGACTTTATTCCAGTCATGGTTGATCTAGTAGAATAAATCATCTGAACTCCAGAACGATTTGGAGAACTTAAAACATCTGGTATGCAGGACAATAGTTCATGCACGATCCACATAGACACTGTGCATCTGTCTGGAAATATTTCGATAGTAAAGACATTGTCCCAATCTCGGTTGATCTAGTAGATCAAATTATCTGAACTCCAGGGCGATTTGAAGAACCTTGAACACCTGGATTACTCGGAAATAGATCATGCATGATCCACATAGACACTTTGAATCTGATTGGACATTTTTCGATACTACAGACATTATTGCAGTCTTGGTTGATCCAGTAGAACAAATCAACTGATGTCCTGGACGATTTGGAAAACCTATGATTTCCTGTATACATAGTAATAAGTCGTGCATGATCCATAAAGTCACATATATACGATTCGGTTATTATTTGACAACGAAAAGTGCTAAAAAAATCATGAAAATGTCTCACCATTGGACAGAACCCAAGGAATTTCCGTGTAAATACACAACCGCGACGTGACCAACAAGTGTGACTTATGAAACTCTGGTAATTTCTCGATTATGTGCAGAGTATTTGGTATGAATCGGTTCAAAATTGAGAAAACTAGAGCCAAATTAACTAAAACATTTAGGACAGTAAAATACGTCAGGTTAAATTAAAAAAAATTGCATTGCAAATGAAAATTCCCTTTTTTTTTTTAAATAATGTTTCATCAAATCTAGGCCGGTATTATTAAATAGAATCTCATAATGTAAGGGTGTTTTATTATGTTCACTAATTACTCAGAATTTATACTATACATAAATAACTGAAGATGATAAATGCTATTTAAAAAAAAATCAACGGCTACAAACAATATTCCTTTAGCTCAGTCGGTAAAGGCGCAGCTACAAAGCAAGTCCATGCTGGAGGCGACTGAGTTCGATTCCCGTCCGGTCTATTAATTTTTCGGGTTGGAGAATGTCTCTACTTTCTTTGGCATAGGATGGTACAGACAAAGAAAGCTCTCAATTATAATGTGAAAGCACTTCAAAGAACACTAAGTTGAGAGCAGGCAAAAATCTAATATGCTACTATACAAGCAATAGGCTTTAAATGCCATACAAATGCTATTTTAAGGCAAAGAAAACAGTTTTTTTTTTTGTCGCGGATTAGTATTTGAAGCCGCGGATTTTTTTTGAGAAATCGCGGATTTCGCGGATCAAATTTAGAAAATCTTGTAACAGCCCTGGAACTGCGTCCTATCAAAAGATACTGGGCAATAACTAAACGGCATCTTAAGAAAGATGGAAGAGAAGCAAGTTCTGTTGACTGCTTCAAGAAAATGTGGTCTACAGCACAACGAAAAGTTAAGAAGAAAGTTGTGCAGAATCTAATGGGTGGTATCAAAAGAAAAGTCCGACCGTTCTTCAGAAATGAGAAGTAAACATTCAAATTCACGTAAAATCGGTCATATGTATGTTGATTTTCATTTATATAAAGTAAATTTTCCTTTGAGAAACAGGTGTCTGCTTTTATTAATCAACAGTCCTTATCAATGAAACAATTTCTTGGTTTTGCTAATAATAAGTAGGGGAAATGCATGTAACGTCGGCCTAAATGCTCCTAATTTAGGCCCATACATAAATTCAGCAATCGACTGAATTTTCAATAGCGATCAAAAACATCCATTACTACCGTCCCAATGACGCGTTCATCTAGATAAAATTGATAAATAGCAGCTTTTTAGCGATGGGCCCAATCTTAGATCCATAGGCCAACATTAGAGCCATTTCCCCTATATGTTTTTAAATTTGTTAATCAAATGTTAAAACTTTAACTTTTAGTAGTTTTGATTATAAAACTGTTCTTTTAAAAACTGTTTATGAAATTTAAGCTACTGTCGCACCTCCCTTAAACTGCAATTCATGACTTCCGACGTCAAAATCTCCACTGACGCCATAAGAAATTCAAGTGTTTCAGGTGAAAAGGTCACATCAGCTTTCAGTCGCCTCACAGTAAGTAAAATCGTTTTTTTAATACCTGTAGATTTTCCGTTGAAGTCCTTGAAAAACCTGGAAAACTGCATAGCTGATTGGAGAAATACTGCATGTAGTACAGCAGTATTTTCGACTTTGAGAAATGTTGTCCATTGCCGGTTTTTACCGGCATTAAATATCTCAATACCGAAAACCCGGATTTCGAAAAAAAAAAATAAAGTAATGACAGCCCTATTACCAATAACAAACAATGTCAGCCAACCTTCCAAGTCGTATAGGTTCTTCAAGGAAATCCACTGGATCCGCCCTGAAGTCCCCCGAACCTTTCCATAAGTGTGCCATCCTAAAACGGTAACAATCTCATTGTGAGCAATTAACCCACACCCAGCTACCGAAGGTCGGTGAAAAATCAACTCGTATTCATTTTTAACCGCTCCCCACAAAGCCAAGGTTAGTTCGAAAGCCTCAGGCGAATTGGACCAGCAGATGAGCTTATGTTCGTAATGACGTGAATTATTAATCATCTTTGTCGTCATCTGATCGTTCCCGGCTGAATGAATGGAGTGTGTACTTTGCTCAATTTTTTTTTCTGTCGTAAAAAATCCGCTGAAAATTCGAACCCACCTTCACACGCACGGAAGAGATAAGATAGTTTTAATTCGCTTTTAGTGTTTGTTTCAACGACAGCGGATCTTCCGGTGGGAATCTGGCAGCTTTTCTCCGGTTCATTTGAAAGTGAATCGAAAGTCGATGGCACGAATTTTGGCCCCGAAAAGGGAGACAGCGAGAGGCGTTGATGTACGATTATCATCAGTGCTCAATTCCCACCGAAACCACACATCAGCATTAGTGTTGCGATGTTGAGTTTGCACGTGGTAGTCACGGGAAGGTGAAAAAAGCAAACGTCGATGCCATGGGAGACAAGCGAGAGTGAACGAACGTGAATAACACTCACTAACGGACGGAATGGGAACGAATCAATACACTCTAAATACTGTGGGATGGGAAAGTGCGGTCTGTGATGGGATGAGAGTATATGAAATTGTGGAGAACCACCCGATTATGGGAGCATGTAAGCAAAAGTCAATAGTCGTTGCTTTCGGGACTGATGGGGATTGGGGATGGCTCCCCATTGTGTATTCTTTCATGTTTCCACTGGTAGTTTCAAATTCATCCCTTATGAAAAATGCATTAAAATTATTTCGAAATTCGATAGGATTATGCATAGTTATATGCGGCAGTTGGTTTAAGTTATATTGAACCGTTGACAGTCAAAGTGATGCATAATTTATTAGTTTGTTTTGCAATAATGGTTTCAGTATGCAAAGACAATATTTTCTTCTATAATTGTTAATGGAATCATTTAAAATCTAATTTAAAATTCAACAACATTATCTAAATGCGATGAGAACTAATTCCGCCAGAAATAACATATACCCCCGTTCAGCACATTCAGTGACTACGCGAATAATGGATGGACAGACGAAGAAAGCACAATTCCGAAGCCGCTGCACGAACCGAATCAAGACGATGATTAAATGAATCACAAAAATAAGCAATAAAATTAATCTTTCCACTGTGGGGCAGACAACGACGACGACGACGACGACGATGAAGTCGACGGGTACTGGATGATGCTTTTGTACCATTGGGGATTTTTTTTATGTTTTGTGCAGCTTCCCTCTCGTGTTCATCTTCCTCCCTGAAGGCATTTCGTTTTTATTAATTTTTTTTTTGGTCTAGTGCAATTTTTCAGTCTTATTTATTGACCTTTCTCATCCTCTCTCCACCATCAGAAAGATATGTAAAGTCCGCGAGGCCATAACCAATTCAATGGACTCGGTCTGCTTTCGTTACAATTATAATCTGGGTGCACTTACTCCGATACTAATGACGCAACTTTTCTTCTCCTTCTATTACGCAGTATTATCTCATCAGACCCAGATAGACGGAAAATTCGTGGAAAAATCGCACCGTTCCCCAGTTAAACCCAGCTGGAGTGGCACAGCAGCCAACCGGGCGAAAAATCCTCGCCAAGTCAAGCATCGTTTGCATTAATTGGCTGGCTTTTGGCTACCGTACAGCAGTAGACATCTGTTGAGCCGCGGGGGCTGGGAAGCGGAGCCGGCGACAACAGGCACCCACCTACCATCGCCAACAACCAAAACAAGTCCCATCCGAATAAGTAACGTAGATAATGAAACAAGTCAATGTCGCCGTCGTTGGGCTTTCCGGTGTCGAGAAGGACAAGGGCCAGCTGGGGGCGGGCAAGTCCTGCCTGTGCAACCGCTTCGTACGACCCAAGACAGATGACTATGCGATCGATCACATCTCGGTGCTGAGTCAGGTAAGTTTCGAAGTTTTCCACAGTGTGGGCGGTTGTAAACGTTCTACAAGTGCTTATCAAGGAAAAACATTATGTCGAACATTAAAGTATATGATCCACCTTTGGAATTTTGGCACTTCGACTAAAAATGGAATTTCGACTAAAATGCAAAAAAAAAATCATTCATCCGAGCTGTCCCTATACCAAGGGGTTAAGTTCTGCGGATCTCCTTCGCCGCCGGTTTTAACACGGCCAATGAGATCAACCCAAATTTGAGTACAGTTTACTCATACATCGTAAGTGAGTAAATTGCCTCATGCTTTCCTGTGGAAAAACTCAAAAATCTGCCGGAAAATTAGGATAATTTACGAACATTTTACTCAGTCTAGGAGTATTCTTTATTTTTCTCATATTCGGGAATTTTTTGCTGGAAAAACATGAGGCGAATTTACTCATCGTTGAGTTCGTGCAGTTTTTGCGATTTATGAGTAAACTGAACTCAAGTTTGCGTAGATCTCATTGGCCGTGAATAAATGCTAAATGTTTGCTTCGGTGGATTCAGTTGTGATGATTTCGGACCCACTGAACAATATGACAGATTCTTAAATTACCGTTTTCTGTTTGATGTTGAGTTCTTTTCGTAGCTCCAGCTTGTCTAAAGAGCAAGGGAAGAATTTCGATCGTTAAAATTATCAACGTTTGTATTTAATAGCCTTTTTCAACGACTTTTTTTAACGATGATGATGATGCCGCCACCTGCAGTAAATGCTGAATTATCATTTCAAGCTGTCATGCGTTTACTGTTTACAACCCAATTTTGAAAGTGTTACGTGTTGTTTTTCTGTAGTTTTTACCAAGAATAACGGTGGGAAAACTTCTCGCGATGGTTTCTTTGCCATACAATTCGCACTCAGGAGAGAAGCATCAATTTTTTATCGCCAAGGTCGTGGCGTATACGGAAGTACCTTGCGGATAATATGCAGTGTTTTGACCTGACCTTGCACTTTTCCATTTCAGGAAAAGTTTTTTGGGAGAAAAGGAGTGCCTACTTATTGAGTACATGACTATTTTATTGTATTGAGTAGTACCTAAGCTTACAACCTCGCTATAATGTTCTCCACCTGCGTCCAGTTGAAAATTTATGCTGTAATCTCCAACAAAGGATCTATTCCAATAAATTTGTGACGAAAATAGCTGGAAAACATATCCCAACAAACGTTTTTCAATTACTGCAAATATGCACAGTCTCCATCTGCTTCAATTGCTTTGGAAATTGTGGTTCAATGCCCTAATAATCTTGAAAATTCTGCTGAAACTCCTCGCAATATTTCTTCGAAGTTTTCTCTCGATAAAACTCTTAATAATCGTTCAAAAATTCAATTGGAGAATGTCTGAGAAGTCCATTGGTATACCTTTCACATTAGACTTGGAATTCATCTCAGAAATGAAATCTCGATTACTTTTTCAAAGGGACGTATCAGCTTTTGTAAACAATGCATTTTATCGTTGCGTAACTGGCAGCTCGCTCACGCATGCTAACCTATCATCAGACAGGGGAAGTTTTCCCTTAACTGATAGTGGTGTTAGTATGCGTGTGCGAGCTACCAGTTACGCCAAATTGACGATCAAATGCATTGTTTACAAAAGCTGATACGTCCCTTCGAAAAAGTAATCGAGAAATTATCTTTCAATTCTGCTCAGCATTCTCTTCAAATGTTTCCAGAAATTGTCTTAAGAACTCTCAAATACCATTGAAACCAGAGATGGGCTATAAATTAACTCAGTGGTGCAAAACATCTCAAATACAGGAGCGTGTCTCTTATCTTTGGTAGGAGAAAGAGACAAAGGAGAGCGAGATTTCATAGCTGGGTGAGAGCAGTTGGACTGCACGGGTGTTACTCGCGCATAACACAATCCACTATGGTCCGAATCGACAATTTAGCAGGAAAAAATTGTTTTCTCCGTTCTTGTTCATTTTAGATGCTAAGTGTATTGAGAGAAGTTGTTTGCTATCATACCATGCTTCTTTTGAGCAAAAAGCCGGTTAGGGTGGTCCTCGTTTAAATCCAAATTCATATTCTAACTTTTTGGTTTCATGTTATAGGTAGTTACATTGCTGAGCAAAGTTGTAGAAAATATTATTTTAGACAACTTTGCTGAATACACCATTTATCTATCTCTTTAATTGACTGTTTTAGAGCATTTAATAAGTATTTAGTTAGGGTGTCCCTAAAAAAACAGTTTTTTTATTCTATCTTTTTTGAACCATTTTCTTTTAGAAAATGGTCTGCAAAAACTTGTAGAACAATCAATGGCGCACGTTTTTGCTCAACAAAGCATGTCGATAAGTCTTAACGTTAAAAAGTTATAGACTATTTTGCCGAAAAAACCAAGTGGTGTTAAAATGCTTATATCACATGGAGTTGGATCGCTAAAATATTTCTTGTGGTATCATCTGAAAACCCATACTTAACGAAATATTTGAGGAAAAAACTGCGAGGACAACTTTCTTTAAATTTGAATAAATCAATTTTGAAAATTCCCTAAAAAAACTTGAAAATTACCTGTAACTCAAAAATTTCTAAACATAACAAAATACTGTCTTGATCAAAATTGTAGGTTTTGACTAGATCTTAAAGTCTTCTTTGCACAACTTTTTTGTAGATTGTAAAATGAAAAAGATAGATTTAATTATATGTTTTATTTTGTGTGAGACAACCTATATCATTTATAACAACTTTTTAGTAAATTGTCATTGTACGGATTGACTCTGAAAACTTTAAATAGAACGAAGCATATATATTTACGAAACAAATATTATATTCTCGAGGCATATTTCACAAAAATAAAGAATCAAGTGTAATAAAACTTAACTAAGTACCAGATGTTGAGCATTTGCTGGCAAAACCAATGTACTATTTCTTGTTTTTTTGTTAGTCAAGGATACCACCGGGTCAGAGGTGATCAACAGTCTTTTAAAAACGTCCTCGATGTTAGATACTCTGTTAAATTTTCGGGCATGATGTTCTCGGAACTTACGGATACTCTTGTTCCGTGTCTCTTGCGCCTCTTCGCTTAGCATGCCTATCGGTAAAATTGCATGTCTGATTATAGTCGATCCGTGTACCAGCAATTTATGGGCGGTTGGCGAAAGTGGGTACCACCCATACAGTTCGACATAAAGAGCCCGTGTTTCTTCGGCATAGCTTTGAAATGCCTCAATGTTTATGTCAGATCTACTGTTAATTATTGTGAAAAGCACATAAAATCGCTCCAGTAACCTTTCATAAAGGCCAGTGATTTCTGAAACGATTTTCCATTCCTTAAAAATTTTTCGGGCAGTGTTGCCGTCATTAGAGTTTCCTCCAGACGGCATTGGTTCGCTTATGCGCAAACCCAACTGTTCCCTGAATGCAATTTTCATACTGAGCTCTCGTTCTTTCACTTTCTCGTTCAACTTGCTAACTCTCCATGTTGGTTTTTCCATGGCCAACCTATTTGAAATTTTAAGCATCAATTCCATACACCGGATATATGCGTGGAGAGGGAACATCCCAAATGAATAGAGCATAGGATCGTTTGCATCCTCTTGACTAACTGGATCGTTCAGCTTCTTTCCTGTAAAAACACGCATATATTTAAAACCTTAGACATAGATCACGTTTACTGTAGTACCTGATTTGCCGCATATATAACACGATTGCGAATGAGTACTCGTGACGTCATTGACGACTTTTGTATCCATCATGCAAAACACGAATGTTGTTTTCACTGTGATGCAATAATCTTCTGTCTTACAAACGGTAGGTTTCAAATTTTTGATTTGAACTTTAACGTCCTCAATGCATCATCAAAAAAGGGTTGTTTGTACCGAGAGTGATTTGAACTTCCGTCAGCGCCCCACTTAAAGATTACATGGTAGTCATCATCAGAAGTAAATTCGCATTTTGGGCTGGAATAAACACTCGATACAATTCGTGTCACCGTGTGTTCGGTTAAGCTCTGCAAAGGAACTTGAGCTATTGAAGGTTGTACTGAAATGTCTGAAAGCAGTCAATTTCTGTAAACGAACTCCCAAAACTGCTAACTATACAATATACCTTTTGGATAACAAAGTTTCTTGGCGTCAAGAATCAGATGATATGATGGATACATATTTATTCCTTTTTGCAGTGCAATGAATCGGATATTCAAATATTGGGCTTTCGAAAAATCATTTTGACAAATAAACGCAAGTGCTTCATTTGCCGTATACATCATAATAGCCGGCTCTGAACTATTGGAGTCGCTTCGAACTTGCATAGCAATTGAAGGATCATGATTAACACTCTCAATCAGCTTTCCAGCCGAACGAAAGCCCTCCGAAGCAGTACTTTTAGCTGCAGCAAACCGCAATTCTTCAGGAGAGAATTGGTTTGTCAGCGTACGTACTTTACTCTGTTTTGATTTCCTCCCAACCGCTGAAAACGGTTTAGAAGGACGACCGCTTCTTCGTATTTTTGGTGTGACATCGTCTTGTTGAACTTTTTTGAATTGGATCTTTTTGTTCAGCCAAGATTTATTTGATGAAAAAAAATATTCACGGCTATACCGACTCTTTAACCACTTTCGGCGGAATTCTGCTCTAATCCATCGAATTTGATTCAGCACAGCACTTCCGTTAATGTTGCTCTCAGAAGATTTTTGAATAACATACTTTAAATTTTTTCAGTGCTTCTACGGGCAATCAGCAAGTCTGCTATATCTTTGTAGAATACTAAAAAACAACAAAACAAAAAAGAAATTTTTTGTTAATGCTCCATGTACTGTATTTATTGTCATACCACTACTCATTTTGCGAATCTAAATTCCCATTAAAGTTTTCAAAGCACTTAAAAATCGTGAAACAAACTGCTGAATACAAGACAAAACAAGTCACTAAAACCGTTCATGACTGTGAATCTGTTGACATAAATAGCGCAACACATGAAAAGTGCCAATGAGTTATATTCAGAGTGATTCGGATTTGGGAGTAATTGATT